ACTGCTGAGGGGAGCAGCGAGTGAGGTAGGAGAGGTCTGCTGCACCATGTGGGCTGCTCCCTGGCTGGGGATCGAACTCATGCTGCAGAGGCTGCGGTTAGCTTCATAGGTTGCACCTCAACCCCTGCGCCACCAGGGAAGCCCCAGTTAAACTTTTGATGGTGAGAATCATAAAAGATACTTATAGCTCAGGCATTTTATTTAACCCTGTGATTGTAAAGGTGTGTAACAAAACTTCCCTTTTGCTTCTGAGGTGGTAATGCAAAGTGCCTTATTGGAATGTGTGATTCTGAACACAGAGTCTCCAGTAGCACTAAGGGAAGGGTAACACATGCTGTTACATCCTGGGATCAGTTGGCCAGATCACTTAACTTTGGGAGTGAAGGATTTACGGGCCTTAGCAGAATAGTCACTGCCTGGGAATGAGGGTGTTGGCCCAGAGCAGGCAGAGAAGAGGAGGTTGTCATTCACCAAACAGCCCTGTTCTCATCAGTTAGATCTGATGAAAAAGAATCGGATGTTCCTGAAAAGTATATGTATATAAAGTTTCTATTTTTCTCTTGTTCCTTATTGTTAGTGAAGGTGGTACCTATAGTGAAAATCTGTCTCTAAATTAAAACTATGAGATTTTAGGTTTAAAATAGAAGCTACATTTACAGTGTTTATTCACTATGGTGGTTATTGTGGGTTAGTGTTCTTGTCACTAAATGATACAAAAATATCTGCTGTTGGAAATTCTGGAAGCAAGTCTATATGTCTCTGCTATATACACTCACTGGAACTTGGATTTGAACTTTTTGCTAACTTACTCTGTTTTAAAAAGGTAAAGCTTTTTCACATTGGAGTTAGTTATCTCATTGCTACCTGTTACTATTTTTGCTAAGCTGTAAAGAGTCAGTAATTGAAATTTAAATAAAAATTCCACAATATTTGGAGTTTGCTTCAAAGTAATCTGTTTGGGTGTAGGGAGAAGAAGGATGTATATAAAGAAGATTGGCCATGTATTGATTACTATTGATGCAGGATGATAGTTACTTGGAGGTTCATTTTACTGTTCTTTCTACTTTGGGTTATATTTGAAGAGTTTTTGCAATAAAAAGTAGAGAACTGCCAAGAAAATGAAATGTTGTGGGTTTCTATGAAGATTTAAAAAGTCTCTACATTGGTAGAAACATGGTCATAATCACCATTCCTAGTATCCTCTTGCCATGTCCCAAGAGGTATAAATAGGATGAGAGGACATAATAAATTTTATTGATTGATTGATTGATTGATTTAAGATTTATTTATTTATGCAAGCACTGGGTACAGTCAGAAGCACGGGAGGGTGACAGAATTTACCAGAGCCAGAGCAGGGAGCAGAGCAGGCAGAAGGACCGAAGTACACTGCTGAGGGGAGCAGTGGGAGGCAGGAGAGGTCTGCGCGCCATGCAGGACCCTCCTCCGGTGGCCGGGGAGCAGCTGGGGATCGAACCGGTGAGTTGGAGGCTTAGGGCAGCTTTGCAACCCAGCGCTCAACCGCTGCGCCACCGGGGAGGCCCTGACATAATAAATTTTAATCGACTGTTTGCAGTATTTGGTTATTCAGAATTCTTCTGCTTTGAGTACTTCTTATTTTTTAGTTTTTAAAAGATTTATTTATTTATGCATATAAGAACTGGGTTGTAGGCCAGAGGTGCGGGGGAGGTGAGAGGATTCACCAGAGACAGAGTGGGGAACAACAGAACAGGCAGATCCACTGAAATACACTGCTGAAGGGAGCATCGGGCGAGACAGGAGAGGTCTGCTGTGCCATGTGGGTCAGCTCCCTGGCTGGCCAGGGATCGAACTTGTGCAGTACTGGCTGGCAACAGCTTGATAGGGCTGTCTTTAACCCCTGCACCACCAGGGAGGCCTCTGAGTACATCATTGTTCATTTTTGTACAATGTTTGCTTTCTTTTCTTGGGTGTAGTCCCCATAGAATTCCCACCACCAAATCACCTGCGTACTGTCACCATGGTCCCTTGTGCTCTTCCCACCCTTGTTTTGATCCCTCTCCCTCCCCCTCTACTGCAAAATGTCTCTGATTTATTGCTTGGTTATTTTTTTTTTTAATTGTTGTTATTCTTTTCTCTGATCCCTTATTTGGTTCCCCTATATTTCTCTTATAAGTAAAATCACCTGTTATTTTTCTTTTTCCTTCTGACTTCACTAAGAATAATCCCTTCTAGTTCCAGCCGTGTTCTGTGAATGACATTAGTTCATCTATTTTTGATTGCTGAATTATAGGGAATATGTATTTTTTTAAAATAACAATTTACTGTAGTATCATAGAATGAACTGTCTTCTGCTCTCCCTCCTAAAAAAAGCCTTTTTAGGTAACTAGAATTCTTGTTACTTTCAGTATTATTTCGGTAAAGAACTTATTTTTCATTTTATAGATGGGAATACTGAGACCTAAAAAGTGGGTATCAGGCTTAACTATCATGTGTCACTGCCTTTTGTATTCTAAATATTTGCCTAGAAAATTTCTCTTCATTTGGACAAGTTCAACAACTTCAGTTCTTTCCCACAACAAACTTCTGTTCTTCCCTGCCTCCTCCATTAAGAAGTTATAATACATTGAAGTGATCATTTTAGAATCAAGGTGCTAGTTACTTATTTAACATCATTCTTAAGTTATGTATTTGTATGTATGTATGTATGTATATATGAAGACTCAAGAACAGTGAAAACTAGGACCCGGGCAGGTCTTAGTAGAATTTGGAAGAGCTGGCCTTTTTATAAATTCTTCATCCTATATTTTAATTTCTTTGCCTTTACTATGCTGCGTGAGTTCTGTACCTATATTTCCAATGTTCCAATGTGTAACTTGACTAAAAGTCTTCATTTCCAGATAATCTATGTCAGAGGTCTTAATCCAAAAATGAATGCTAAAAATAGCAAAGAATGCACTTCTTTTGTGCTGCCCCCCCTTTTTTTAAAGTTCAGCTTTATATTCTTGTTTTTATAAAATCCCAACATCTCAACATTTTCTACCTTTCAACCCTTGTGATTCCAAGCTTTAAATTTTGATTTTTTTTTATACCAGAAGCACAGCAGGGTCTAAAACAGTTTTTCATGGAATTGATTTTGCCAGCATGAAATCACAGACATTGATCTATCATCTTCAGAATACTACCTTCCAGCTGTGCAATGACTAAGATCCAGGCAGTGGGGAGAAGCATATTTGTCTGGTTCCTAAATGCCAGTAGGCACTTACCTTTCACACCATACAATTTGGTGTGGTTGGCAGTTCAGCTTGTCTTTTTAGAGGCCAGGGATGGGTGGGGAGAGAATGAATTCAGATGAGGGTTGAGTTGTGCTAACAACTAGTTTGTTTAGGTTTTTTCCTCTACATTCTTTGATAGCCTTCCAGTAAGCTCCTGATACCCTTAAAGTAGAAAGTGAAAACTATCCTGATCCAGCTTTCCAAAAGAGGCCACTTTAAAAAGACAAAGTAGCCTTGCCCCTTAGAGAATTGTGCTGGGCCCTGAATTCATTTAGACTGTGAAATAGTCTTCAGCTAACATGAAAGGAACCCCCGCCACTCTGGTTACAGTTATTGGTGCAGCTATGGTAAAGGGGTGCACTTCTTTTATACTTCCCCTCCTCACACTTAAAACTAGGTTGAATGATACTAATACTATGCATGGACTTGGAAAAGGAGGCTGGGGTAGGCGAAGTAGGAACTAAGAAGAATATTTGCTTCCCAGTTAGCTGAGGAATGTATTTTAAGGCTTTATAAGACATTACTGCCTCCTTAAGTTAGTGTCTTTTTCATTGATTTCTCCAGCTAGATCTGAGTTGCTTTTGCTGTTGAAATTCACTTATTTTTATTTACAACAAGGTTTTCTACTTTGACTTTGTGTGTCTTATACACACTGTTCTAAGAATGTGTATTTCCCTTTGTGCCAGGTATTTACCACCAGAGTGTTTTGTGGTTGGGAAAGAACCACCAAAGATCTCAAATAAAGTTGACGTCTGGTCAGTGGGCGTGATCTTCTACCAGTGTCTTTATGGAAGGAAGGTAAGGAAGGGCATACAGTGGCTTGACTTCCTGTCTTGGGTGGCACCTGTAAACTGTGGCACAGTTTGGATTATTCGCTTGGAGTTAATCATTGGGTTCCACAAAATGGAATCCTGAAAGTTGTGGTTTGAAGAAAATACAGACTTAAAGACTTTATGCATATGCAGAAATTTTCAGTCCTAGGGCACCTAATGAATTCTGCTGGGCTGCTGAAACATGAATTTTTTGCTGTTCTCAATTAGATCCAGGACATGTTTTGATTCTGTTAATATGTGTAGGGAATTATATGAAGTAGTTTATTAAAGTATAATTTCCCAAGGGTTATTTTTAAAGGCCCTAAGAACTGAAACTTGAAATATCTGTAGGGTCTTCTATTCCCAACCACCCCGTTAGTTAAAGCTATTATTAATAAAAAGCATACTTTGTATTTCTGTCCTGGGGAGGGAGTATCATAAATTGTTCATTGTTATCTCTGATCAAGAGGATACATCATTTGAACAAGTAATAGCCTAGTTAGTGAACTATCCCTAATAAATTTTCACATTTTTTTCCCTTGTGAACCCACCTTATAAATGTATATATTAGGGTGCAGTTATGTATTAATGTTTGTATTTCTGCCTACAGTGTGTCTGTGTCTTTCATGCCTCCCCATTAGGCTGTGGTTATCAGCCATTTGTGAATTCTCCAACTTCCCTGGACTCCTAATGTTTTGATTATAATCTCTAGGCCAGGCTTTTAATTCAGCTTACCACTTCCTCTTTAACTTCCCTTTGGCCTGTCTTTCTTTATCCTACCTCTCTAAAATGAGGAAATTATTCAGAACTAGTAGGAGTTAATTATTATTTATACTCTGTAATAATGTGGGAGGACCACTGATAATGGTGGCGGAGGTTAACTAGAAGAAAATTGTTTATAAGCTTTTTTTTTAATACTTATTTATTTATTTATTTATACAAGCACTGGGTACAGTCAGAAACGCGGGAGGGTGAGAGAATTCACCAGAGCCAGAGCGGGGAGCAGAGCAGGCAGAAGGACCCAAGTACACTGCTGAGGGGAGCAGTGGGCGGCAGGAGAGGTCTGCGCACCATGCAGGACCCTCCTCTGGTGGCCAGGTTGTAGCCAGGGATTGAACCGGCGCTGCAGAGGCTGCGGGCAGCTTTGCAACCCAGCGCTCAACCGCTGCGCCATCGGGGAGGCCCTGTTTATAAGCTTTTAATAGAAACTATGTAGAGATAACATTACACTGAACTTAGTTTTTAAGAGTTTACTGGAAAATGGCAATTTGAGGCATAGAGGAAGCCACTACATAGTACCAAAACTCTTCTTTCCCCCTCTTTGTTCTTGCCCCTGCTGCTTCTTTTTCCATCCCCCTTCACCTGGGTCTTGGGTCTGCTGGTGGTACCCATGAGTACAACTTAGGCCCACACGTAGCTCTCAGGGCAAAAGAAGCTGCTGCTTGTCACTCTGAATCCTTTTCTTGGCTATATGCAAAGCTAGCAGAGGGAGTACAGACATGGCAGATGCTGGTTCTAGTTCCAGCTCTGCGTTAGCCTAGGTGTTGGGCTCTGAGTAAGTCCCTTAAGCTCTGAACCTTCTACCCTTTATCTGTAAAATGGGAGCATTAGTTGTTCTAGCAGTCTCACTGAGACATGTCTTTCCCTTCCCTATGATTTTGAATTGTGTTCTCTTTCATTTTAACCAGGTACCCATCTTTGTTTCATTCATTTGTTTTGTTTTTATCTGATAGCCCTTTGGCCATAACCAGTCCCAGCAAGACATTCTACAAGAAAATACTATTCTTAAAGCTACTGAAGTGCAGTTCCCGCCAAAGCCAGTAGTAACACCTGAAGCAAAGGTAAGGTCTGGCTCCATGACCAGCAAAAACAGTTGCTTTGTCTTCTGTTTTATTTCTCTGGGTAATAGTGGGTAGACTATTCAATACAAATTTCATCAGTTAAAAAATCCTCCTTCTAAATGTATTTCTTCAATCCTTAATCTTTTGTCCCATCTCCTCCCATGACAATTATTTATTAAGTACCTGTTAAACACTAGAGACACTGTTCCAGGCAGTGGAGATGAACTGTGAATCAGGTAGCCGTAAATGACACAGATGAGGTCCCTGCTCTAAAGGAATTTACATTCCACTAGGGGAGACAAAACAATAACTAAAAACAGATAGATTCCAGATGGTGATAAATGTTAGGAAGAAAATAAATCCAAGTATGGGGGTGGAGAGGTGGGAACCCCTTTTTTGACGGCATGGGCAGGGAAAGCCTCAGCAATGAAGTGAGCAGTTGAGCAATCATGAGTGATGTGAGGATGGGAGCTGTGTGTAGAGTTGGGAGAAGAATAATATTCCAAGCAGAGAGAGGTGAATGAAGCTCTGGTGTGAATGTGGACTTGGCAAAACTGCAGGGCAGAGTGGCAGGAGAGGCAGCACAGCTGATTGTGAGGCATGAGGGACTGCTGAAGTAAGTTTGATTGGGGCAGCCATGTGAACCCACACTGGCAGATGTGTAGAGAGAAACTTCAAGGTAAAAGGAGTTTATTTGACTGGTATCCAACCCAAGATAAGCTGTTCCGCTCCAGTTCCAGGTATCTTACTAAAAATGGTTCTTTTTTAAAGACAGAGGATTCTTATGTTCATTTCTGTGAATTTGTTTATATTTTCCAAATGCAAACAAATCAGCAACTACCTATAGGTGTCTTTGATTTTGAAGAGCCAGGATTGGTATTATACTTTGTGTATTTGTTAATTAAATATGGAAAAAACAGAAAATAAGTAGCTCGTTTCTAAATAGATCTTTTTGTTGTTTTTTAAGAGCAGTTTTAGATTCACAGCAAAATGGAGGGAAAATACAGCATGTCCATACACTTTCCATGGGCTGAGCCAAGCCCCCTTCCCCCACTGTCAATACCCCAGAGCAGAGCGCTGTGCATTTGTGCCATTAGTGAACCCGCATCAGACATTATCGTTGCCCCACTGTAACGTACAGACTTGGATAGTTGGGTAGTAGTGACATTTTATATTTTTAAAAGCTGGTCATTTAAAAATAATTACAAGACTGATTAAATAGAGTTCTCTAGTTAAAAATTAGGAAAAGACTGATAGTCTCTTTAAGGACTTTCCTAAGAGCTGTGGAAACTGACACCAGGTAGCCCTTGTACTGAGGCAAAGGAAACCTCTATGTTGGCAGAAATTAGAATTTCAAGCCTAGCCGTACTCACAGAATGTCTCTGTAGTCCTCTCAGGAGGCAAGTCCTGTTCAGGTTTTCTTTTACTACATGCCTGTGTACCCAATCCTTTGCTTAATGGCCTTTCGGGAGAGGATGAGACCCAAAGGGCAAACACGCACCAGTCTGTGACACACTGTATTGTGTCCCCTCGTCTGCGTCTGTGGCTAGTATGTCATTAAAATTTCTACTTCCTCAGGAAGTTCACCAGAGGCCATGGTTTCTAGATCCCAAACCTTGAAGTGAGGGTGCCTGTGCAGACCAATCGGCGGAGATGATTGTGTTGGTCTTTCTCCTTTGGGGCAGTGGCAGTTAGCAGTCACGCCCCTGTTGCCCTCAGAAATGGTTCAGCTGCCTCTTTGCGGGAAGGAGTCAGTGGGCACAGAGAGCTGCTGCTGCTGCTGCTGCTGCTGGTGGCACACTGTGGTGCGAGTCATCCCCTCTCCTCTGCGTCTAGCCATGGTTTCCAGGAAAGGCCCGAAGCCCCTTTTCTAGGAAATGTTTGCTCTGGGCACTGGCAGCTGCTCCAGAGCCTCTAGTTTCCTTTTTGGGTTGCCAGGATTATCTGGTTCAGGCTACTTCAAGAAACTTTCCTTTCAGGCATTTATTCGGCGATGCTTGGCCTACCGAAAGGAGGACCGCATCGATGTCCAGCAGCTGGCCTGTGACCCCTACTTGCTGCCTCACATCCGAAAGTCGGTCTCCACGAGTAGCCCTGCTGGAGCTGCTATCGCGTCAACCTCTGGGGCATCCAATAACAGTTCTTCGAATTGAGACTGACTCCTAGGCCACAAACTGTTCTACACACACAAAGTGGACAAATGGCATTCAGCAGCGGGTTTGGAACATAGCGAATCCGAATGGATCTCATGAAACCTGTACCAGGTGCTTTTATTTTCTTGCTTTTTTTCCCATCCATAGAGCATGACAGCATCGATTCTCTTTGAGGAGAAACCTTGGGCACCTCTGGTCCGGCCTCATAGGAAAAGGCCCCGCCCAAGATTCCGGCGTCAATGGCCACTGCGTGTGGCTGCTCTGAGTGAGGAAAAAATTAAAAAGAAAAACTGGTTCCATGTACTGTGAACTTGAAAAACATGCAGACTCAGGGGGGGCGGTCCCTGATGCAGTGCTTCAGATGAAGAATGTGGACTTGAAAATACAGACTGGGCTAGTCCAGTGTCTATATTTAAACTTGTTCTTTTCTTTTAATAAAGTTTAGGTAACATCTCCTGAAAAGCTTGTAGCACAAAGGCTCAGCTGGGGATGGTGTTTGACTTCGGAGGAAAAAAAGTTGCTATTGCCCGTTAAAGGCACTAGAGTTAGTGTTTTATCCCTAAATAATTTCAGTTTTTAAAAACATGCAGCTTCCCTCTCCCTTTTTTTATTTTTGAAAGAATACATTTGGTCATAAAGTGAAACCCGTATTAGCAAGTACGTGGCAATGTTCATTCCAATCAGATGCAGCTTTCTCCTCCGTCTGGCCTCCTGTTTGCAGTTGCTTCCCTCGTCTCAGTAGGGAAGCTGAGTGGGAGCGTTGAGACTGCCGGTTTTTGCCATTGGACAAAGAATGAGGCTAGAAGACTGCAGCTTGGAGTCTCTAGGTTTTCAACTATTTCTTCACAATTTGAACACTTGACGGTTGTCCCTTTTAATTTATTTGAAGTGCTATTTTTTTAAATAAAGGTTCATCTGTCCATGCAGTCCTCTTGGATTCTCTGAATGTGGTACCTATGGAATCTGTTCCAAAGGTAGGCAGAAAATGGGCTTGGGGAGCCAAATGCTCCAGGGATCAGGACTTCCTTCCACAGTCTCTGTGTGCTTGCTAAACGGTGTACATTTCTTGTTAACCACCTTATTAAAATTTGATCGGCACATAAGCTTTCCTCTGTTAGATCTTTTGGCAGGAAACAACCTCCAGTCCTGTTTTGTGGGTGTGTGCTGGCATGTGTGTCGTGTGCGTGTGTGCACACACTCTGTCTCTCACTTTCATAGGTTCCTCACATGCAGTTTAAAATCAGTCTCCAAGGAAATAGGTATTTCAAATGTGAACATTCTTTTAGAACTTCCTTTTTTTAACTTGGTTGTTTCTGCGCTGTGTGGCCAGCTGAAATGGGAGCTGCGTGCCTCGCCGTGCCCGTGAGACAGCAGAGCGGTCGAGAGAGGGAAGGAGGCCAGAGCCTGAACATGTGGTAGCCAGCTTGGAATGTTACTGACATATGTGGCAAGAGGGCTCAGCCAGAAATATTTAAAGATGCAGCATTCAGGCATGCAAGTTCCCTGGCCAGGGACGAGGGAAGTAAGGCTGGGTGGAGAGCTCGTAGCTAACCCCTGACAAGTATTTATTTTACGTGTGAAATATGCCACCGATGACATATTTTCGAGGACCTTTGTTGGTTTTGTGGACATCCTCTTCTCTCCCCCGTATCAGGTGATCTTAAGGGAAGATGGAGCATTTCCGGTTAGAGAGAAGTTCCTGGGTTGGTATTGTCTGGTGAACTCCTACTGGAAGGAAGTCCGCCCAGAGAGCTCGGTGCCTCCAGCTTTCCAAAGCCATGTTACTGTCGTCTGTATTTGTACACACACGCATGTCTGTCCACACATGTGATATATACGTGTGTAAAACTTCTTTTTTCACCATTGCTTTCAAGCTGCTAAGCAGAGCATCTCCATGGGTCTCAGTGGTTGAGCATCACATTGAAAGGATGGTGGCTGCATGTGAAGAGATGAAGTTGAGATTGTGTTTAAACTTACGCAGAGCAATTAAGTTTCATTCCTTTTTTCCTCCTTCATATTCACTGATCTTTCAGAATTTTTTTTCCACGCGTTTTTTTTTTTAAGCTTCAAAGAACGTGGCATCTTTAAGTCTTCCCTCTTCTGACTTCCCACCTCTTTTTTTTCCCCTTGGGGGCTTGTCACTGAAACCATAGGATTTTATTTGTTGAGCTGCCTTTTCTGCTCCATCCTGAAGGAAGGGCTGCCCTTCCCCCCACTTCCCCTGGGCCCTCGGTGTGTCTGGAGTGAACTGGACTTGGTTGAATGTGGGGAAGGCCTCTGTCCACTGCATGGCCACACCCCAGAGAACATTGTAGAATGCTGAGCTTTGCTGGACTTGTAGTCGGTGAATTTAGAGGGGTTCTTCCATGGCATATTTTGTTAATATGGGTTTCACTTTTTCCAAGGATAATCCCTGACTGCCACAATGTTGATTGACTTGAAACAATGACCAAAAAAACACATTTGTAATTAAACCCCGCCAGACTGTTCTGGCCTTTCCTAATTTGGCGGGTGGGAAGGGCATTAAAATAAGTTTTAAGAAGTGAGTTTCCCAGCCTCTTGGTTTTACTCTAGTTCTCATGCTGCAAACAGAGCTCTTGCAAGAGAGGGTCCTGGGAGCCGGCTGAGTCCCAGGGGACAACGCAGGCTGGGCGGGAATGTTTTGTTCGTGCAACCCCTTATGTAGCTCTGATGTGCGAACGACGGTGTGTGTTGGTGGGAATATACCAGTGTAGGTAAGTTCCAGCCATCAATTCACAGTCCAGGGCCGAAGGCCCCGGAGCCAAGGAAGGGATGGAACCCAGGGACGTGAGGGGGAGGAGTTGGTCTCTGAATCTTCCGCCATGAGATGGGCACCTTGAAATAGAGACCCTCCAGTAGGAACCTCGAGCACCCCACTTCTGTGGCTGCCTGGATACATTTGCTGTCTTTTTAGGTTTGTTTGCTTCCTTCTAGTCGAGGGAGGACGGTTTTCCTCCAGTTGAGATTAGCATCCAGGGAGCACTGGTGTTTCTTAATTTAGATAATAACTTGGCGAATCCTAGAGCCAGAAGCAGCAGGTCCTTGCTTAGAAGGATTAGCACTTCTAAGAAGCAAATTCTGCAACAAACTTGACCTACCCTACCCTGGCAATTTTTTACTTTCTGAGAGTCTTTCCTTCCCTCCCTTACTCATTATTCTAATTACTCAAGCTTTTTTTGTGTGTGTAATTAAATTCTGCCTCCGGTGAGTGGGAGAGAGATGCGATGCACAAACTAGTTGGGGTATGGGGAGTCCCTGCTTTGTAAAATGATTTTCTGTTTTAGTTTCTTAAGGCAGAATCATGTAGATATTAAGAGCCTGGGCCTTAGAGCTAGGTCTGGCCTACCTCCACTTCTGTAAGCTTCAGAGTTAGCTCCTTGCATGGTTGTAGTCAAGAGGAGAAATAAGGTATATAAGTGCCGGGCACATAAAAGGGAAATCAGAAACGTGGTTTGAAAAAGATCACAAGATCTAGTAAGTTTAAGAGCTGGTCCTGGAACCCCCAAGTTTGCTGGTTGAGGGTCAGAGCCTTTCTGCTCACTAGGGGAAGTACAAAACTGATACAGACTTTTGGGGATCTTTCCCCTCTGGCTTGAGATTCAGTATCAACTTCTGTCCTGTGAGAGTCAGCCACCTTCTTCTACCGAAGATTGCCTGCCTGCAGCTGAATCCAGAAGGCCTATCTCAGGTCCCGCCAGCAGCAGCAGCAGCAGCAGCAGCAGCAGCAGCAGCAGCATCACCTGAGAACCTGATAGAAACGCACATTCTCAGGCCCCGGCTCTGTCTATCTCCCAGACCAGTGCAAACTCTGAAGTCACAAGTCCTGCTAATCTGTCAGCTGCTGCAGTAAGGGTGAGTAGTGGGAGAGGGTGGCTGTTGGGCCTTGCCTAAGCTTGCCCAGCTGGAAGACAGAGATCACTTTTATTTATTTATTTTTTCAAAAATAAAAATCTAACTTAAGCTCTGGGACCTAGGACCAATATCATACATATGTTCCTTCATGGGGATCCCCAGGAGTGTCCACACTATACATCGGGTATACAGGTGTCTCGAGTTCTATCAAAAATCATTCACTCCTTGGGGCAAAACTTCTCACGTGTGGCCTCCTCTTAAAATATATGATAACTCATTAGTACCTTATTGTGACTTGCTGTGTCTTTCACCTGAGGGCCCAGGGCTGCGGGAGAGAGCTGAAACCTGGATCTGCTGGTGAGTGCAGCCTGCTGTCTGGATCAGGAATGAGGAGAGGCTGCTTGGGGCTGCAGCTCTGCAGAGGTGGGGGAGGAGAGGGTGGAGAAATTGCAGGAGGAGGGTTAGGAGGGAGTGGTTAGGGACTCTGGCTGCTGCTGGGCTCTGTGGGTGGGTGGGGGAACCTGCCAGAGGCTGGGAAAACAGTCAGGCCTGGGAGCAGGTCTGAGACCTGGTGGGGGCAGGGAATACAAGAGCCCTATTGTGCTAGGGGAGCTCAGCAGGGGCTGGAGACAGACTGGAGTCAGTGAAGGGGTGTGTAGGGATGTGTGAGGCGCTTGGGCTAGAGACCCCATGGTGAGAAAGGGGTCAGAGAGCAGCTGGCTGGCTGACTCAACCCCACCCTGCCAGGGATCAGACCTCCGGGAAGTGTCCAGCTAGAGATCCAGGTGGCCTCAGCCTCAGCCTCCAGGGCAGCCTACTGGGATGGCCTGCTCTACTGCTGTCCAAGCCTTTCACCCCGAAGCTAGCTTGGGAGGGGCGCAGAGGGCAGGATCAGCAAAGGGAATGGGCTTAAACTACCACCATGCAGGAAGTTGCTGCTTCACAGCCCAGGGGTAGGCAGAGGAGCATTCTGGCTGATGGTAACAGGTGAGGAAACTGACCCAGAGACACTTGGTGACTGGGGGTAGGTGGAGCAGGGTTGGATGGGGGACTGCAGGCATGAAGATTTTGTGGGGTGGAGTCCCTGTGTGTGGGTACAAGCTGCGCCTCTCCTACTAGAGGCACATCTTGCCCCAATCTCAGGCTCCATCCCCCAAGCCGACTTCACTGTGACCCTTTCCACCCTCATGGTTAACCCTTAGGAAAACCCGACTCTTTTCCCAACCTCTGGCAGGTTCCCCCACCCACCCACGGAGCCCAGCAGCAGCCAGAGTCCCTGATCACTCCCTCCTAGCCCAAGGGAAATCTAGCTAGTTGCTGGCCTGCCCAGCAGTCCTGGCCTGAAATTGAACATAAGTGGGGAGATGGGCTCATGCGTCACAAACTTACCTGCTTCATGCTGCCTAAGCCATCGATCTTGTCATCTTGCGTTATAGATGACAGTCTGCACTGCCCAGTCCCGGGCAGCTCTCTCTTTTTGCTTCTCGTACCCTAGTAGGCCCTCGGCCTTGGCTTCCTCAGGGTTTCTGTCAGGCTTGAAGGGGACAGGAGATGTGAAGATGCTTTAAGCCACTGAAAATGTAAAAAGCAGAGGGTGTTGTTAGATGTTTCCTCCACATAGGGGCCCTGGAAAGCTGTCTGCAGGACGTGGGAGGCCCTGGTGCAGGCCTGGCCTGTTCTAGAAGGAAGCCTATCATAGAGTCAGAATGGAGCCCCTTAGCGTGGCTTCCACACCTTAAGGGAAGGGCATGGCTCTCGGAAGGGAGATAAGGAACGTTTTTCCCTGGAAATTGATGTCAGGAACCATTGCTTCTTTACATCAACAGACTTTCAGAACTCTCCCCACAACCTTAACACTACCCTTGCTCTTCAGCCCACATTGACTGGACAAAACTGCCCAGTTTGGGAATTACAGCACAAGATGACAGTAGAGCGCCTTGTGAGGACCGTGTTCAGGTCCCAACTCTGAGCTTGCTGTATGACCTTTGCTGGGAGCTCACAGGCTGAGCCACAGATCTATAAACTTCATCACTCAAAACATCGATCGAGATCCTTCTGCTTATTATGTGCTGGGCTTGTAAAGTAATGTATCTGGGAGCTGGTAGGTTCTGTCAGGGGCAAGAGGAGGCCCCTGGGGCCTAGAGGGGTGATCCTGCACCTACAGAGCCACTTCTGGCCATTTTGCCTCCAGGCCAAGATCAGTGAGAGCCTCAGAAGCCTGTTGGCAGGGACCAGTTTTGCCTGGCTCTGGGGGGGTCAGGTACTGAGAGTGGAGAAAACATTCTGCTTTTCATCCCTGAGTTGGGAGGAGGAGGCAGGGCCCATGGAGCAACCCCTGATGGCATCTTGAAAAAAGAGAGAGGGAAGAGCCAGAGCTATGGACAGTGTAAGTCTAGTCGCAGTGCAGCTCCAGGCTGGGAGCCGCTCCTGTAGAGCTATCCAGGTGAGGTGACATCCTGCTCCCAGCAGCTCTGGCAGCAGCTGGGCAGGGCAGCAGAAGGTTCTGGGAACTATATGCTGCACAACTGCAGCTGGTTCTTCAGTTCTGCTGCCCCTTCTTCCTTGGAGTGCCTCAGGCCAGCCTCTGTGCCACCTGGCTCCTGACCTAATGCCTCCTGAGTGGAGGCAGGAGCCAGTGGGGATCCTGGAGGCATGGGATTTGAGACCCCTACTTCAGGGCCTGCAACAGCTGCACCATTATTGGGGTGATTCCTCCAACTGGGAGTTGGCATCCAAACTCCTAGACTCAGGGGTAGGGAGTCTGCACGCCTGCTTCTTGGACGGGGTCATAAGGTAACTATCCCCTCCTCCTTGGGAAAGGAAAGCCGGGCTTAAAGCTGGGTTCAGAGTGGCCCTCCTGGAATGGGGGTGGAGTGCCAGGAGGACCCTTTCAGGTATTTTTCAACCAAAGACAGAGAAAGTGGGCAGGGTTTTTCCAGGTTGTATTTGTGGCCATCCTGGGGTAAACCAGACAGCAGACAGACCCTCCGTAGAACACACCAGTGCATGGGCATGGGGCAACAGCACCTTGGGCTGACTGACTGTCCCAAAGCCCTTCACACCCGAGCCGTAGCTACCACTTCTATGCACTTCATCCGCTGGAAGAGGTGAGGCCAAACCGTGACACTTGGGTCTGAGTCCCAGACAGCTTTCCTCTTTGGCCCAGTCCCTCCTGGGGGGTCTCTGTGCTGTAGATGAGGGGCGCCATGTGGACTCCAAGAGCAGATTTCCTATGTGGTAGCCTAAGGGTTTGAGGTAGAGCAATTTAGGAAGAGGGGAGAGGAGGAGGATCTACCGAGGCCAGCCCCATGCTTGGGCGACTTCCTCCCTGGCTTGGAAGGGGTGATTTGGGGGGAAATCTTAGCAGCCCTTGGTGCTCACATCTCTAGTTGTTTCAGGTAACGACTGACCATGTCTGTCTGTCTGTCTTCTCACCTCATCTGGCCATCCAGGGGCATTCTTCCTGTCTTACTCTCTTTTTCTAAGCTTTTGATGTAGGCCCAGCCTGCCAGGGTGTAAGCACAGCCTTTGCTCTGCTTACCTGAACACCGTCTGGCTGGAGAGGCTGCTGAGCCCCAGGACCAGCACAAGAGGAGCCCTGAACACAGTGAGTAGTGACACCAGCGCTCGGACCCGGAGGGGCAGCTCGTACGGGGAAGGGAAGTGAAGTGGCTTGGGGCTAGCAATTGGCAGAGCTGGAATTCCAATTCAACTCTAACCTCAGGCCTGGCACGCCCCACTGCCCAGGCTGGGCATTTGTGGACATGCATTTATTATCCAGCCCAAGTGAGCATCGGCGTGCTTTTACCTGGCCTTACGTATACTGCAGAATACCACTTTCGTATACTGTTAAGGCAGGAGGTGCTCAGACGAGAAGAGGAGGTTGTCTCGTCCTCGCGGGGAAAGGAAGCACCCAGCGTTGCCACGGTAAACTGATAACTGACTGTGCCGCTCTGGTGGACAGTGGTTGGAGGGGGGGTTTGGAGAGGCAGGGCGAGGGTAAGGAGTGAGAGATACCCTGGTGTCCGGATGGCAAAGGAAGATGGGAAGCAGCGAGAGGCTCACATTCCCTGAACAGGCCATCCCTTTCCACTTGACATTTATTTCTCAAGACAAACTGGGATTATTTTACCATTTACACACAGGAACTGGGAGCTGGGAGAGCTTAACTTGCCAAAGTTCATACAACGAGAGTAAAAGTGGGGGAGCCAGGAATTCTAGCTGGGGGCTCTGACTCCAAAGTGTGTGCTCCTTACACTAAGCTGGACACCTACAGTGCCTGTTGCTGGGGAAGCGCCAGTGCCTGAAGGAGACCCTCTGTCAGCATCCGTCCCACTGGGGCAGATTCCCTCCCAGCAAAAGTCCTCCGGGTGGGTCATGGGCCTAACGAGTCCCAGGCACCCAGCCTGATGCCTGGCATGGGGCAGCCCTTACGTAGTTGCTCAGCTGAGCTTCAGCAGGAATGGTGAGAGGCTGTAGGCACAGAGAACCTCAGCCTTTCTTTGGAAGGGGCGAGGGTCTGGATGCTGGTGAGGGGTCCCTCTGGAAGTATCAGCCCTCACAGTACCCCAACATTCCTGCGTGACCACATTCTGTCAGCAACTGATCCCACACAGGGCCTATAAGTAGTGGGATACTGGGATGGTTTCTCCATAGGGGAACTGCCCAGATGTGGTCTGCTCTGCCCTGCGAGCTCAAGATCGAAGACAGATGGTGGCCACGGATGTAGGCCCAGACAATCAACAGAAAATAACGTGTAATCCTGGCCTGCGAGAGCAGGAAGTCTCGGCCTTGGCAGAGACTAGGCCAGCCTGAGAGAACTTGAACAAGCATCTGTCCCTTCCAGTGCAGTGCACTTCCTTGCTCCTCAGCCTGGAGTAGAGCAGAATTTTTGTCCATTTCCCCACTAAAAAAAATGCTTCTCAGGCTGTGACTGCTCCCGTCTCTCCAAAGCAGCCGGCATGAAGCTGGCCCGCAGTGGTGGTTGCATGGGTGAGTGGAGAAGAGAGCCTCTCCCATGAGCGGGGCACTCGGTGTGCTCACGGGGGCCTGCGGGGGGCTTTCTGGACCCACGTCATTCAAGGGTGATGTCAAGTAGTTGACTTTGGCCCTGCTAGCGAAAGGCCAAAACCTTCTTGGGCTGGGGTGAGGGAGATCCTATCCTCCCCCAGAAGCTGGAAGGCTCCTTGGGAGCCCTGCCTGACTTCCCCTCTGGAGGAGAGGGGACCCCTGTGGAAGGCCTGTGGCCAGCATGTCCAGAGATAAGCAAGTAGAGCTCGTAAGATGACTGGGAGAAGCAGCATCCTGTGTTCCGACTACTCAGAGAGGGAAAAGGCCATTTGCTAAAGCCGGCAAATCCTCCAATCCCACACGGGGTATCAGAATAGCGCGAAAGGGGAGGCCTAAAGGATGATCTGAGGCCGCCTCAGCTGGGCCAGTGGCCTGCAGGGCAGTGGAGTGACACGTTCCACCAAGAAGTTGGATTTGGGGCCAGTAAAACTGCAGTCACAAGCAGGGACTTGGCTCTGTGACCTGCCCAGTTTGGCATGGACTGCCTGGATTGCTGACCATTTTTAGGGCCAAAGTGTGGATAGAGGGAATCTTCCTAGAGGACAGTGGGTCCTTTCCCCAGGTGCTCACTTCGGGGCCTCATAGGCCTCTGGAGACTTATATTCTCTAAGAATCTTAGCCTAACACCCTGGGGAAATGATTTACTGCTCCCTGGTAAAAAAAGGAACAATATGAATTATTTCCAAAAATAGCATGGAGGTGGACAATACAGGAAACAATAAAATTTATAATACAGTTTCACAGTGTGTTTATTTGATTACTCCTGGTGGGGGGATGTGGCTCCTCTTTGCACTTAGGGTCTAAATGCCCCAGCCCAATGCAGCCTAGAGGTGCCAGGCAGCTTTTCCAAGATCACTCAGGGAGAGAGAGGTAGCCGTGGGGCTGAATTCCAGGCTCCCCCTCAGTGCTCTGCGCTGTGGTGACCTGTTGCATAATGCGGAGTAACTGTGGGTCGTCTTCCCTCAGCACATTTCCACGTGGTCCTTGGCGCCTGGCCTGCAGTCGTCTGTGATGAGGGGTGATCTCTGACTGACGTCCAGTGGTTGGATTCCCTAGGCTTCTGGATGGAGCCCCACATAGGAAAAACACCACACCCCTTTGCGCCGGGGGCGCCAACTCGGGGTCACGCAAATGCTAAAACAAGACACGCAAGTGTTCGCGACCCGCACAGGGCACCCGGGCCCGGCCGACCCTTCCCCCACGCTCCTCCGGCCGCGGAGCCCGACGTCCCGCCCCTTCCCCGCCAGGTCGGGGCGGGGGTGCCGGGGGGGGGGGGGGGGTCCTAAGCTTGGCGGGAGCGGGTGCTCGGCGGCCGGAGACGAGGGCAGAAAGAGGCTGGACGGCGGCGGCGGGAGAGTGGCCGCTCGGGTCAGCCGCGCGCCCCCGCCCCGGCCCCGCGCCGCGAAGTTGGCGGAAAGTTTCGCGGTCGCTTCCCCGCCCGCGCCAGCCGGGGCTGTGACGCAGCGTCTGAGGCGCCCGGCCCGGTGCGCGCGCGGGGAAGGGGGACGGCGGGGAGACCGCGCGCCGGACCTCGCGGCTCCCGCGTTCCCGCCGCCGCTTTCTCTCCCCGCCGGCCCCGGCCCCGCGCCCGCCCGCGCCTCGCCGCTGCCCCTCCCACGCTGCCCGCTTCCCGTCCCCTCTGCCCCTCCAGCCCCCCTCCGTGCCGCGCTCCTCCCCCCGCCCTCCCTCCGCCCGCCTGCCTCCTCCCTCCGCCTCCCTCCCCTCCCCGGGAGGCATCACTCCGTCCCGGCCGGGAGGAAGACGCGAGCCCCTCGCGGGCCGTCACCGCCGCCCAGCGCCTGGGCAGCCGCCGCGCCGCGCCGCGCCCGTGCGCCCTGGTCCCCGCGTCCCCGCGCCGCGCCGCGGGCATGGGGCCCGGCCGACCCGCCCTCGCGCCCCGGCCGCATCACCTGCTGCGCTGCGCCCTGCTCCTCGGGGGGCTGCGCCTCTGCCACCCCGGCGCCCCCGGGGACGCCGCCGCCCTCCCGGGTAAGGCGCTGCCAACTTGGCCAACTTTGGGGTGCGGGCGGGGGGAGCGCCGGGAGCGGGCCTCTCTCGGCTTTTCCCTCCTTTTTCCCCCAGAAGCGTGTGTGCGTGCGTGTGCGTGCGTGTCTGTGTGTGTGTGTGTGTGTGTGTGTGTGTGTGCGCGCGCGCGCCTGGGTTTTTAAAAATCGTCTCTGATTTTCTGAGAGCGGGGGAGGAGCGGGGAGGGCGCGCGCCTGGAGGTGGGGGAGGACCTGAGTGGAACCAGATGTGGCGCGCGGCGGGGGAAGGGAGCCCGGGGGTCTCGAGCAGCGTCGGAGGAAGAGGCGGGCTCCGGGGCGACCCCGCGCCCGCCCTCCGGGCCACCCGGCGCCCGCCCTGCCCTCCCCTGGGGACCCGCGGCGCGCCCGGGGGCACCGGGGCTCCCTTTAGGGTCTCCGGGCCCGTCTCTGCCGGCGCGAGCCTGACGTTATTGTTTCCAGTTGCTGGAGGGCCGGGGCGCCCTTCCTGGCTTCTCCGGGGTGTTTATATTTTCTTTTCGGCGCCGGGTCTTCAGGGACCCCTCGCGGCAGCAGCGCCGCTGGCGCGGGGCTCGGGGGGCGGGTCTGTGCCCCCGGGACGCCGCGTCGGGCCGGGCACGGCGCTGTGGGGGGCGGCGAGCGTGTGGGTTGTGCGCTGTGGTGGCTCCGGCCAACTGGCCCCTTCCCCGCCCCCGCCCTGGACGGCCTGCGCAGCACTAGCGCTGCCGAAGGTGCGAGCCCGCCCGCGGGAGGCAGGACGCGGCCGCGCAGCCCCCGGCCGCTCCGCCGAAGGTGACAGCCGCGAGTGGGGACAGACAGCCCCTCGCCGAGCACCGCGCTGAAGGGAGAGCGCCTCCGCTCGGGGGCTCGGGCGTGCGGGAGCGGCACGCTCGGCCGCGGGGGGCCCGCAGCCCCGGCGCTGGCCCGTCGCGGGGGTGCAGCGCCAGTTCACTTTGGGGACCGCCGGCGCCGCGCGCGGCCTGGCGAGCCCCGGGCGGCGGCGGGCGGCGGCGGGCGGGCGGGCGGGGGAGGGTCTCGGCCTCTCGCGGCGGCGGGGGCTGCGGGTGGGCCTCCCCGTCGTCCGTGGGCGCCGGCGACCCACTCAGCGCCCCGCTGCCGAATTCCACACCCACCTGGGACCGAGCCGCGGACGAGCCAGCGCGCGGCGCCCCCTCCCGCCTCCCGCCTCCCGCCTCCGGGACGCCCTCGGACGGCCGCGGGCGGAGGAGCCCCAGAGCACGCCGGAGAGCCAGGCTCGGCGAGAGGCGGCCGGAGCGCTGACTCGGCCTTTCCCCCGCGGAGCTTCTGGCCGAGGGGCTGACGCGCCCGGGGAGAGGCCCGGCCGGGGAGCACGCCCCGCCCCAGGCCCCTCGGCCTCCGCCCCTCGCGCCCTCCCTGCGCTCCCCGGGCTGCGTCCCGGTGTTTCCAGCCCCCAGCCTGAGGGGCCTGAGTTGTAGATCTGCGCCGGTCACGCCGAAGAAGCTGCGCTGTGGGGTGGGGGGCTTGGGCTGGGCTGGGGGTGCTGGTCTCCAGGTGGCGGTGGGGCGAGCACCGGCCCTGACTGCGCCCTCCGGCCAGAGTGTGCGCCGGGGCCGCGTTCCTGCTCCGTCCCTGTACCTGGTCCCTGGGGGCCCCCCCGGGAAGGAGTCACCAGCTCCCAGACCTCAGTGGAAACGTGCGCGAGAGGATCCGGCCAGCGCCGCCAGGGATGAAACTCCGGCGGGCTGGCCTCTGGCCACCAGGATGGGGGCCCTGTGACACAAGTGGATTGGGGCGGGGGGGCAGAGCCTTCTGGGGCCCGGGAGCATCTTCTCCACCTCTGGGTGCCCCAGGGTGGGTGGCTCCTGGCCCCGGCTAGCTGCGCGCTACTGCGTTTTTGCCCTTTGCTGCGCGGCGCTGAGCCACATACTTGGGGAGGAGGCTGGGCGCCCAGGGTGTGAGGCGCAGCTCGGAGAGCAGGAGATGGGGTGTTGGAGAAGGAACAGTGAACTGAGCGGGGAGGCAGGATTCCCAGGCGGGGCGTGCCCGCCGGACTCCGCAGGTGCAAGGAGACCGGTGTTATCTGGGGCCGTTTTCAGTTAGGGAAATAACGCTGAGAGGGCTCTGGTCATTCACCTGGGTCACACAGGCAGTGACCTTGTGTCTGGAGATGGAGAAACTGGGGCAAAGGGTGGGCACGGCTCTCTGGAGGGGGCCGGATGGGACCTGGGAGGTGGGCTGCGCGGGGGTGAGCTCCCGAATGGGGTGGGGAAGAAGCCACCTGAAGGAGGAAGCTGGCCTGGTGCCTGAGGGGCTGAAATGGGGGGGAACCCTGGAGAACTCTTGGGGGCTTCTGAGCAAAGGAATGGGGTGCAGATGGGAAAGAGGGCCTTGGGACCTGGTGTCCAGGTGGAGGAGTGAGGACCTTGAGGAATCTTCCTGAGGGGCAGACTCCGCTGTGCAGGACAGAGAGGGAGGCGTTTCTTTTGCAAGGCCTCAGGACAGGAAGAGAGGCTTCTGCCAGAGCCAGCCAGCAGACCTCCCGCCCCAGCCCAGCTCCTGGCGAGTCAGGGAGCGCGAGCACCCAGCCTCCTCAGACCCTCCTGTCCCCCTCCCCAATACCTAACCTTCCAGCCTCTCACCCAGGGTTCACCTGGGCAACCTGAGGGTGCAGGCAGGGGTGGAGGAAGCTCAGCTTTTGGTCCCCACTTGCCCCCAGAGAAATCTTGGCTTTCACGTGCTGCAGTGACTGGGGTGATGGGGTTATTTCTGAATGTCCACAACTCCGTGTTGTGAGGCGCTCACACTAGTGCAGTCAGGGGGCAGGGCCTGCGGTCCCCTGCACATGGCTGAAGTGACCTCTGCGTGGTGTGGCTGCCGGGCCCTTGGCCTAGCGCTTCTCAGGAGACAGCACTTTGGCAAAGTCCACCTCACGCCTGCAGCTGGGACTGGAGCTGTAAAGGCATTTTGCTCAAGACCACTGATATGCCAGCAAGGCACAGAGCAGGTCCTTTATGGTCCAGGCAGACAGGAGAGGAGATTCCTGGGGCCCTCGGTGGCTTTTTCAGGCTTTTAATGATCTTTCTACACCATTTGCAGTGAGGCAGCCCGGTGCAGGGCAGGGGGTGGGGCAGGAGGCTGTCAGGCCTCCCAGCCCCCACAAATCTTCACTTTTCTGGGCTCTCTGCTGCACCCCACTGCACGGTGCTCCCCCCGATGTGAACTCTGCTGCCACGCTCTGCTCTCTGCTGCGTGCTCTCCGCTCAGGGGCGCCCACTCACGCAAGCCCACACCCTACTCCAGGTGCCGCCATTAGGCGCTCGGGCAAGCCCACAGGTGTCATCACTGCTGCTAAGGGCGGGGGCGGAGCAAACCTGATCACTTCCGTTTACCCTACAACCACCTTGAACTCAGGGTGTTAGAGGCCCCGGGTTGAAAGAATTCACCAGAGTAGAGGACAGAAAAGGCATTTATTGACTACCCTGCAAAGGGGAGCAGGGGGAGATGGGAGACATCTGAAGAAGGGGGGGGGGGCTCCTTTACAGCCTCTTTTCCTTGCCTTCATGCGTCAGTGTGTCTCTCTGTGGGTTGTCTCTGCTGGAGCCTCAGGCTCCGGCCATACAGGAGGCACGCTCACCATAGTCTCTTGGTCAGGTGGACCCCTGGCTCGGCCAGGTCCACCTCATCAGTTTCCCTTTCTACTCTGTCTACTCCCAGCCCCCACAAATCTTCACTTTTCTGGGGCATTTTCAGCTGAGCAGAGTGAAGAGACTGAGTTGTAACTGTTAACGATACCCCAGGCCCCATGCTGCAAAGTGGTGACATGGGGTCTGACCCCTGGTGTGGCTGCTGAGCCCGAGCACTTCTGCCTGGGTTAGGTGCACCCCTTCAACACGGCGGGCTGTGGGGGGGCTGTGGAGGGCGGGTGGGAGAACTTGGCAGTGTGGGTCTGCGCCCCACCCCCGCAGCTCCCAGCACTCCAGAGCAGCCTCCTGAGAGGCACTGACAGGGAGGGGGAGCAGGCCACCCGGTCCAAACCCTGTTGTGTGGGTGCTTGTTTCTCCCTAATCCCAGGGGACCCACGAGCCTGGGACTGAGCCCCCCTCCATGGGCTAAGGATGCCTGTAGGGTGTGTGCGGAGGAGGAAAGGGACCTGTCAGGAGGAGCCTGCCCTAGGCCCGCAGCGGTCAGGGATTCAGATGTTCATTCATTCATTCACTCACTCACTCACTCATTCAGGGGGTGTTCACTGGGCTCCAATGGCGCTGCAAGCACGGGTGACATTGGCCTGCCCTCTTTTGAGCCCACCTCCCCCTGCACCTCCAGTGGGGGTCCCTCGTCTTGGCGGGCCTGGGCCTTGCTGACAGGAAGTGTCTCTTCCTGTTTAGTCCTTCCTGAGATGGAGAGGGGCCACTTTCCCATGACTAGATCCTATAAATCTGGGTGGGGTGGGCCAGCAGGGTGGTGACGCAGCTCTTGGAACACAATCCCAGTCACTCCCCAGTCAGGGGCTGTCTCCCTAAACAGGCAGGCTGGATGAAGGCCGGCAGAGGCATCTGTTGCCAGGGGAACCTGCAGCATCAGCCAGCTCCAGCCCCTTGAGGGACAGATTGGGTGGGCGCCCCCAGACTTCACACATGGCCCATGTAGAATCCATTAGGTCCTTTCCTGCTCTTCTTCGTTTTCTCCCGACCTCTGTCCCGACCATGCAGACCCCTCGGACCCCGCTTGGCTGGGCCCGTGGCCTGTGCCTACCCTGGGGTTCCTCTGTGCATTCTGCCCCCCAGCTCTGTGGTGTGGCTGGGGGATGGCCCTGAAACCTCAGCTGTTTCCAGGTCACCCGCTGCCCAGGCCTCCCACTACTTTCTGCTGCCCCTTCCCCAGAGATCCCGAGGACACGGGGACACTGGTCAGAGCCTCAGCCCAGCCCGAGAGGAGACGGATACCCACAGTGCTGAGCCCAGAATGGGGGGCTCTTCTTATCTCTTTCTGGGGGATCACTTCTGGGAGGACATGGTGAGAGGCTGAGGTGGGCTTAGGGCTCCTATGGGGAGGCCAGTCCCGGGCCTCTTCCGCCCTCCTCAAGGGGTTTTTGGAGGGGACGCAGGGGCGTGGTGTGGCTGCACCTGCCACCCGCTGGAGGCGTCAGTGCGAAGGGACCAGGGCTTGGTGCTCTCACCAGCTGTGTGACCGTGGGCGGAGGCTCAAG